CGATGACCAATTTTCTCCATTTTCACAAATTCACTGAAAACGTTCACTATTGATGGCTGCCAAACAAATACTAAACAACGTGGCGTCTTCAAACTTGAAACATACTTTATAGATTGTGTACTTTCTAATACGGTGATATTTTTCAAACAACTACCGCCATCTCTAGGTCAGGTCGGGTACTTCAGGGACCATCCTCGTATATTTAACTTTTTCTTACTATATATTATACCATACTATTATACTATATATATTCTTACTATATTTAACTAATTTTATAACATAAACGGTCACCTGGAGTCGTTTTGTATTCTAATGTGTTTTTAAAGGCTTATTTTATGAGTAAGACGTATAACAAAGCAGCCCATTGTTATTATGTACATATCTATGCAGTATTTTTAATTCATGCTTTTTTAATTCTCATTTTTTATCCTCATTCGCTTTTATAATATAATTTTTATTATAATACATATTGTTAATTCTTTTTCTGCGTATCCGACTTTATTCCCGAATCTGTCCGAACGCATCCAAACCAAAGTGCAACTGAACCGAATCGCGACCGAATGCGACCGAAACTGACTGCTGCGAAGATGAAATTCTTACTTGTAGGCCTGTTTCTGTCTCCTTTCCCTCCTAATCGTGATGGTCAGCATTTTTTATGAGAACACCAACGGACTCAGTGTTCCACGGCATTCTGAAGTTCCTAAAATACGTGAAAAACGTATCATGCACATCCGTTCTCACGGAGCGGGAAGTTTTTAATTTACCTGTGTTACGTCCTGGGTGTCTCGGAAACTACGAATTTCTTTTTTTTAATTATATGATTGGGAAACAGACGGACTTCGAGCAAGCGCTACTGTAACAAAGATAAAATTACATCGGCAGCCGCTAAACGTGCCGTACGGTTCCCAATGCGTTTATCATTCATTCCGCCTTCATGTAAGGTATGTATTTATTTACATCCTGGGTACCCCGGGAACGATAGATTCGTTTTTTTTTATATAACTAAGATATCTTGCCGCCTCCACGTTAGGCACGTATGTGTCCATACTGGATACCTAGATAGCAACGAATTCCTTCTCTTATGATTATAAAACTAACAAATTTGATCAAGCGGTTTATGAAAAGATACGAGTACACGCCGCCCACATATGTCATAAGGCTCCCGATGAGGCTGCGATCTATCCACCCTTGTATACAGTCGGTAGAACAAGGGTCCTCCTATGCGATTAGGTTCTTAAAATTGTTTATGTTAATACTAGGCATTTTCCAGAGTAACCGTCTTCCACGCAACCTCCTCTCATTGGTGGACGTCATCCACCACTGAAATCCTTCCTATAATATAACTGAAATCCTTCCTATAAGCCTTACTCTTTTTGCCGCGAGCGCAGTTACAATAGTAGTTCTTTTGCAGTCAGTGACAGTCACAGTCGCAGTTACAATCACAGTTCCAGTTGTAGTCCAGTCTAGTTCAGTTCAGTTTAGTTCAAGCGCAGTCCAGTCCAGTTCAAGTCCAGAGCAGTTCAGTCCAGTCCAGTTCAAGTATAATTACAATTAGAGTTACAGTCGCAGTCACAGTTGCAGTTCTTAGTGTCAGTTCTTAGTTAGTCTTAGTTCAGTCTTCAGCAGTCCACAACCATAGTCTAGTCCAGCCTTCGTCTTCGTCTTCATTCGTCCTCGTCAGTCTATTGATTCATCTAAATCGTAAGTCTCCATTTCATATTTAAACATGACTTTTAATCATTTCAATCCAATTTCCAATTCCACTTCATCCCTCAAAACACACACCTGCACTGCGTGATTATTGTTTTCTTTGTATTATATAACGATGTTTTCCTTGCTATACCGATATGTTAAACATTCTTGTTGCGTTATATCTGATTGTATTAAATTAAGTTACACGAATTATCTTTTGCTTAATCTTACTTTAATCTTCATCTTGTATTTGCATTACTCCAATAATGCTGATTTATAAAAATTTGTTTAATGTTAACCCACATATTTTATTGTTTAACTTTAGCTAACCCTTTCATCTTTTAAATGTTGTATCTTTTACAATGACTTTTCTTATCAATTTACCACTATTATTAATCCATCCGAGAACCAAATTATATTATTAATAAACTGTTTTATTCAAAAGGCCATAAATTTAATCAAATCGTTAAAACTATTTATTCATCTCCTTTCAATTACCTAAATCTAAATTCCCCTTTCAACGCACTTATATGGTCCTATCCCAGGTAAAGAGATTAAGTTCTTTGACCTAAATAAAGGACCACCTAACCTACGTTCTGTGATCGGAGTAAATGGGCCTCTCCGGACCTTGACCTGATCTGCAGACCTACCAGTACGTTTAGGACTCGCTAGTGCGCGAGTAAACAATTTTGTTGCGTTCGTTCTCTTCCAGGACGTAACACCTGCATAAAAATCGCATATAAAATCATCTTGTATATATACGAGGGTGGATCAAATATAAACGAGCCTTTTGCAAAAAATCCATATATTTTTCAAAATCAATTCTAATTTACATTTTTCTTATTTTTCTACATAGTCCCTCATCTTATCTATACACTTCCTCCAACGGTGTGGTAATTTTTTAATCCCGGTATCATAAAAAGTTCGCGGACGTGTATCAAACCAATTGCATACGAACTGCCGCACCTCTTCGTTCGTTGTGAAGCGCTGTCCACTAAGGGCTTCCTTGAGTGGCCCAAACATATGGAAGTCGCATAGTGACAGGTCTGGGCTGTAGGGTGGATGTTCTAAGACAACCCAATGCATATCGGCCAATTTTTGCCAATTTCTGCATTCAGCAACTTTGAAACCCAACGAGCCGACATTTTTCGAAATCCCAACTCATTGCGAATGATTGATTGCACATTTCCATAGCTGATCTGAAGTTCCTGAGAGATTTCAAGAACAGTTAAGTGCCGATCGCCTTCGATGAGTTCTCGAACAACCTCGGTGTTCTGCGCGTGATGCTGGTGCGGGGACGGTAGCAATGTTTTCAACACGCTCCCGTCCTTTTTTAAATTCGTTACACCACTGCTTCACCCGAGCCCATGAAAGGCTTCTTTCCCCGAACTGTGGGAGTAAACGGCGCCAAATTTCAGCAGCATTTACATTTTCGTTGATGAGAAATTTAATAATAACACGTTGTGCAACTGCGGGGTGTACCTCTTTTTTGCTCATCGTGATTGCTGCTGAGAGTAAGAAGCACGTGGCGCGCCAACGTTATTACTGCTTACCACATGACCCTCCTCCCCCTCCACTGTCCAAAACGTTGCAGACCCCACACTGCGCCGAGGGGCGCGCAATTTAAAAAGGCTCGTTTATATTTGATCCACCTTCGTATATATCCGGTTAGCGTAATCCGCCTTCCGGTTCCCAAACACCAAGCCTTCCTGTTTTGATAATCTTTCTCTGTGAGGTTTCTTTCCGACATCATTCTAGTAATGCCTTATATTCATGTTGTCGCTGCTTTTCTCTCTACTTTCACTATGTATGTTTCATGTACCAAATACCATAGTCCTTTTCCGTTGCCATGTTCGTCGTAATTTTCCATTCAGGTTTCGAGACTCCATGTTGGGATTTTTTGCTGGTGTCTTTTTTTATAGAGGATGGGTAGCAGGCCCATCGCTCCAACTCTCCTCCTTTATCGGGCTTAGGACTGGCAATGTCAGACACTTAGGCTATTTAGTCCACCCAAGGCTGTCATCGATAGAGTTAAATCATCTCCTATACTGAGCGGTAATACAATAAATTCAGAAGACGCAGTGTTTTCGAAAAGGGTAAATAAAAAGTACGGATTATTTGAGTAAAGTATCGTTATCTTTTAACAAGCCATATTAGTCTACTGGCCAATCCGATTACGAATAAGGGCGCTCTGATCATCGCGATTGGTTGTGTTATACCACTGTTATATGGTCCGGCTGTCACAGTTCACGTTAAGCTTAATTTCTAATGAATAATTATATTGTTGGTTGGGGCGCAGAACCACACAACCTGCTACGTTCCTACAACTATGCGGTAATTAACAAACGATACGGTTAGGACTTCAAACTAATATTATAATTGATTTCAGGTGCAAAAATGAGCTCGGCACGAGGTCAACAGGTGACCACCGGGACCACCGAAAGAAAAGCGTAGGGAAAGGAGAGCAGAGGAGAAGAACAAAAAGGGGGAGGGAAGTTTCGAAGTACCTTGGAACGTAACAAAATATATACAGGTTGTCCCGCGTAACATGTCTGAAACCATATAAATTGAATATTTTAAGTCGATTAGAAATAATATGATCAAAGTTATTTTTCAATTTACTACGTAAAGTTTTATGTTATTAAAGGGTTAGGCCAGTCTAGGATTTTCAAAAAATCGAAATTTATTTTTTGCTTAAAGTACACTTTAGGGTCCTAAAAACATTATTCAATTGGTAGAATAGTGAAAAAAAATTTTTTCCCTGTCCAATCCGCTGTAGTGTCAAAGCGTTTGGAGCGGGCGACGAGCGCATTTTCTATCTGCCGCGGCGGGCTTCCTTTTGTCCCCTTTTTACGACTCTTACCCTCTGCACTAATGTACCAACGGGGCCTGAGGGCTCTGATGGTTCCCCAAAAGGTCGTTAGGAAGTGCTAGTTCATCAATACAGCTGTATGTGTGGGCTTGTGTGTGGGTCAGTCAACTGAAAAACGACACCACGCATGGACGCTTCTTTTTGTTTTCGTTAGTTTTTCTGCTTCAACGAATTACTTTATTGACTACAGTGGTTTTTACTGATAAACTATCATTGTTAACAATATGAGTGA